TCAGTGCCATCCTCGAGAATGTCATGTGATGACTGGAATGGGAATGAAGGGGAGTGAAGATAGACGGTCAGCAACTATACCACCTCTGCTTTGCTGATGACATCGTTCTAATAATACCAAACATTAGCCAAGCAGCACAAATGCTGGCCGACTTCGACTGTGAGTGTGGAAAGGTCGGACTCCCGCTGAATCTCACGAAGACAATGTTTATGAGAAAAGTCTCATTCCTGATGTTCCATTTGCTCTCCATGGAATGACCATCTCCGAATGCAAGAGTTATGTGTACCTAGGTCGAGAACTCAACATGATGAATGACCTGGCACCTGAATTGCGCAGGAGAAAGAGTGGCTTGGAATGCCTTCAAGAGCATCAAAGAAATAGCTAAGAGGATGAAGAACCTCCGGCTCCGGGCACATCTCTTTGATTCCACTGTTCTTCCTGCATTAACATACGCCTCAGAGACCTGGGCCCTACGAAAACAGGATGAGAATGCTGTTCGGGTCTCCCAAAGAGGAATCGAGAGAGCTATGCTTGGAGTATCATGTTTCACTCAAATAAGAGAAAGAATCCAGAGTTCTGACCTCCATTAACAGTCAAGAATCAGGGACACTGTCTCATTTGCCAATGTGTCAAAAATCAGTTGGGCTGGACACATAATGAGATTTGGAGAGGACCGCTGGACTAGAGCCATTAACGACTAGATTCCACTGGATGTTAAAAGACCACGTGGCCACCCACCTATGAGATGGTCAGACTTCTTCATCAAGACCCTGAACAATCAGTTTGAGGCTCTTCATGTTTCTAGAACAAGCAGACGCCATTGGACCACACTAGCACATAATAGGGATGAATGGAGATGTTACTGGTGCCCGAGCAAACCAATGAGTAAATGGAAGACAAGTGATCAAGTGATGGTGATCTAACTGCAATGGTTAAAATCAATTAACCAGTTCTTTAGGATATACTCTCTAGTCAAGTCTAACTTTATTTAGATGCTGTAGATGGTCAAGCTTGATTGTCTGAACCCAAATGGGAACATTAAACAAACATCACAGCCCTCACTAATAGGACTTTGGCTTTGCTGTTGTGTGTAGAATCTTCCCTTCAAGAAAAGCTTGTGATGATTTTGTATGCCTTAACTGGAAACTTCTGTAAATCTTATGATTTAGTAAAATATTTTTTGTTATTTTCAGAGAGAGCGAGAGAGAGACTCCTCTGGCTTTTCCAGCTGCTAACAGCAAAGTCCTGTCCCCCTGCACCCAGAGCCCTCTGCTCAACTCCCGTCAGCTACGACCCTGCTCCCAGGCTCTGCTTCCACCGAGCTGGCCTCCAGCATCTCCACCAAGTGTGATCATTGGTTCTGGGGCCAGAAGGGCTCCAGGATGCCCAGCCTGGCCAGGAAAGGCGTCTCTGGGCCCGCAGCCCTGACCCTCAGGGAGGAAAATGTCCTTAGGGGCTGAAGAGGTAGTACAACAAGCAGGGTGCTTGCCTTGCACACAGCCGACCCTGGTTCGATCCCCGGCATCCCATATGGTCCTCAGAGTCCCGCCAGGAGTGATTCCTGAGCGCTGAGTCAGGAAGAAGCCCTGAGCACCGGGTATGGTCCCAAAACAAATATAAAGAGTACTGAAGGGTATTTTCACATATGATATAGGTGAAACACATTAACAGCCAGAAAGCTTCGCCCAAGCTAAAGGCTTAAACGGTTATTAATTAAGAATAACACGGGAGGTTTTGCCATTTTGTGAGGTTTAATTACGCATTACTAGGAAAAATATTAACACACTTCTGAGAAAAGAGAGACTATATTTGCGGAAAACATATTTTTTAACAAGCACTGAAAAATTCCCATTTTACAACATCTAATGAAGGTGCTGACAGGGGTACCAGAAAGATTAAAAATTGTACCCTTGGAATAGAGCCCATATTTAACACTATTGACCAAACATTCAGAGAAAGAAAAAAAATAATAAGCTGCATATTCTCGTGTAAAACTAAAATAAAAGCAAAGTCTAAGCTTTTGGATATTCTGAACACTTAAATTATTCAACTGTAATCAAAAGATAGAGTTGGCCTGATTAATGCATAGTTCATAAATATATTAAAATGCAAGGCTTACATTTTACACTGTTAGTGGAGTTTTTGAACAATAAAAAATGTGAAATAATACCCCAGGTAGGCTGAATTTTAAGGCATCACCTGAAAATATTTCAGGTGTTTTATTTTCATTTCATTATAAGAATGAAAAAATGTAATGCTCTGAACTGTTCAACAATCAAAATAAGTATTCCAAGTGCTAAGAAACGTACGTCAGAAGCTTCAAATGGCTACAGGCAAGGGCAGGCTTGAAAGGAGAGTTCAGGGCTTGATTCCTCACCTCTTGCTCTCTCAGGGGCTCTGCGTGCCCTGCCCCACAGTACACAGCGGCGTTCCCGCCATGGTCCAGCCCCCGTAGGGGCCGATTTCTGACATGGGAAAGTTTTCCTTCTGACTAGTTGTCCTCAATTCCATTTCTGTCTCCTCTTTCAGGGGCTGGAGAGACAATCCTGCTGGTTAGGTCCCTTATCTGGTCCCTTGTCTGGTACTCAGCCAGGAGTGATTCTGGAGTATAGTGCCAGGAGTAAGCCCAGAGCACCACCGGGTATGTCCCAAAGAACAAAAACAAACGATTAAACAATCTTCCCTCTGAGAGCATACGTCCCAAAGAAGTCTGGGGAGAAGAGGCTCTTGATGCTTCCATCTCTGGCCCCCTTGCCTACCTCCTTGCCATGAGCATTGGCCTCCATCCCTAACTCCCTGCAGGCCTCCTGCTCTCTGCTCCCTGAGGCACGAACCACTCGGCAGCAGCCTCTCCCCACGATGGGACTCCAGGCCTGGCGCCTCTGATGGACATGACTTTTCTGCAGACTCCTGCCACCAACACTGATGTTAAGTCCCTACAATGCATTGTTCCTCCTGACAATGAACAGATTGGGACAAGATTTCTGTTTCCTTCAGTCCAGCCCACTAAACCCATACCAAAGCATCTCCGACTCTGAGATTCATTCCTCCTCTCTCCCCTTTCCATCCTCAAGGTGACCACGCGACTGAGGGATCCACACGGGCATCCGGCAGGCTGGCCGCCTGTCTGCGTTCCTCCTGGCATCCCATACAGTCTAAGGTGATTTTCCTGACTTCTGCTTCTACTGAGCACCAGGCTTAAGAGCAAGTAGTCTGTCTTTTGTTTTCAGGCTTTTTTGTGAGTTTGAAGGCCACACCAGGCCATGCTCAGGGCTTCCCACTGGCTCTGTTCTCAGGGATCACTCCTGGTGGTGCTCAGGATCCAACCGAGGTAGGCCACGTGCAAAGAGAGTGCCCTGTCCACTGGACAATCTCTCTGGTCCCAGTAGGAAATCTTTTATTTCAAATCACAATCTCTAGTGTCATGTAAGAAGTGAAAAACAGGAATATGTCTGTGTGATTGTGATTGTGTGTGTGTGTGTGTGTATGTATGTAATCCTGCTGATTAGAGATAAACTGAGTGAAGACCTAGAAGACAATGACCCAAGAGTTACAAAGGCTAAAAATGTTTTGAAAGTCTTGTCAGCAATTTTATTAAGTTATTACTTATATTAGCATGGAATTGAGAGCAACCTAGCTGTCCCAAAATAGCAGACAACTTAAATAAGTCACGAAATATTTAAGAATCAATGCTACCATTAATATTCATGCTTTCAGAATTATGTGTACTAATAATAAACAGCACACAGGCAGATCATTTTCCAGATGGCGACTACCAAGAGCAGGACACGGTAGCAGCTGCACCACGCCCTCAAATGGTGACTAATATGACCCCACTGTTGACATTTCAACTTTAGAAATATTCACAGGGAAAAAAAAGAAAGATATATAATGAAAGTCACTCATTTCTTAGTGTTATGGTTCTAAAACACATTTATTCTTACCATTTTGTATATTTTTACTTATTTGGTGGGGGAGGTGGGCTTGGAACTCAGCCTGGAGGGGTCCTCCCAGGAGTGGTACTCAGGAACACTGGGGGCAGTGCCCAGGCTGGCCAGTGGGCAGAGGATGTGCTCCAGCCCTGTGAGCTATCTCCCAGTCTCACTTTCTAGATGCTTCTAGTTTTTAGGTAACAAGTTAATTTCTTCATAAATAAGGGTGGTGAAAATTGATTTGAAAGGGGAGGAGGCACCAATAGGAGTGCCGTCCGAGCACAGAGTCAGGAGTAAGCCCTGAGTACCGCTGGGTGTGGCCCACACACTCCCCAATCCAAACCCAAACTGGTTTAACCCACTTTTAGTTTCCTCTAACCACACGAAGAACATATACTAAAATGGAGGTAGGGGGATATAAAATAAATGTCCAGAGCTCACTGCTGCCTACAGATGTAAGGTACAACGTCTGGACTGGGCATTCACTCCACCAAGGCCATCCAGGCTAATCAAACTGCTGGACAGCCCCCTCCGTCCAGCAAGATGCAGGCAGGAGACTCAGCTCTGCCGCCATGCCGTATTCACACTGGACCATATTTCTGTGTGGATTTCTGTGCTTCTTGCCACCTCTGCAAACATGGGCCCAGCCTTTGGCCTTAGCACCTGATCATGTCCAGGTGGTGGCTCATCTATGGAATTTCCAAACATGTTAACCCAGGGGCCTTGGTCCCCCACTCCCGCCCTCCCTGCACCCAGATCTCAGTTGGTATTTAACCATCGTCTCTCTGGTGAACTGTTCTACCGACATAGTTCCTACTGCTCCACCGGGAAAGGCATGTCGCTGAGGGCATGCACCACTTCCCACTCCCTGAGAATGTCCTTTCCCCTTCCCCTATTCCAACCCAAATTTCTTCTCAGTGGCAACATTGCTTTAAATGTCTCACATTCAATAATATGCACAGAATCAAATACTGACAGGACCAAATGAGTTCACATTTGCCCAACACCACACACATACGTAAAACATTTCCACATTGATACATGAACATAAAACACTTTTTTTTTTACCCCAAGATTCCAACTGTTAAGGCGAGCTTCAATGTCACTATCATCCAAAGAAATAGAGTTTTTCGGATGAACTTCCTGAAATACAAAAGAGAAAAGGGAAGAGAGGATGGGAAAAAAAGAAGAAAAAAAAAAGAAACAAGTAAGAGCGGAAAAAGTGGGAGGGAGAGAAAGAGGAAGAGGGAAGAGGAGAAGGAGGGAATTGCAAGGAAGGAAGAAATTTATTGTTATTAATAAAAAATTGTTACCATTAGTACTCATGTTTAAAATAGAATCATATATACTAATATCTCAAACAGCACATTAAGATGGCAATTATAATATGACCCCACTGTTTACATTTTAATTTTATAAATATACACAGAAAAATGAAAAATATACAACAAAGTGTTTGAGTTTTAAAAATGCAAGGAAGGAAGGAAGGAAGGAAGGAAGGAAGGAAGGAAGGAAGGGAGGGAGGGAGGGAGGGAGGGAGGGAGGATGGTAGGGAAGAAAGGAAGGGAGGGGGAAGAAGGGAAGAATTAGTGGAGCAAGTAGAAGGAGCAGACAGTGAGAAGCGTGGGTAGAAGGAAATAAGGATGAGAAAAAGGAAGGAGGGAAAAGACGAAGAAGAAAGAAAGAAGAGAACAGAAAGAAAAAAAAAGAACCAAATGTGTGTCATTGGGCATGAGGAACATTTCTTATGTGTTTTTGGTAACACTATATTGCCCTCAGAGGAAAGGATTATGTTACAAGGGAACTGGAGTTCTCAGTTCTAAGCCATGACTTTATTGGGGCTGCTTAGGGCTATGAGATGCCTTCACAATATATTCACACAGCAGCTAGATTTCAAAAACAAAAAAACATCAAAAGAATATTTTAAAAATTAATCCCAACTCTTCTCTTTAAGTTCTTTCACAAAAAGTTTTAATTGTGGTACACCACAGTAACTTTAAAGGGGAATGGGGTGCACTTGAAAAGATGAATTATTTACTCTCGTTAAAATTAGTTAGCAGGGAAGTTCGTGTTGATGTCCAAGAAACTCTTTGTTCTTAAATTAATTCTCATTCAGACACTGAATATAAAAAGAAATAAGCTTTGTATTCAGAGTATGAAAACACAATTGCGGTCATTCTTTAGTTAAAAAAAAAAACTTGAAATTCCATGCTTTCTCCTCTCCTGTAAATGTCTTACACTACATATTTATCAAATCGTATTAAGATTATAATTAACTGGGGATGGTCCAAGATCTGTGCCCAGAATGGACAATGATCTAAATGCTCTAAAAATTAAGGAAAGTAAAACTGTGAAACAGTAATTCTTTCTACAGCCAAAAAATCATTTTGAAATTGAATTTTTTAGTTTAGCATTCTCATGCTTTCAGATAACCTCATAACCGAAAAATAAATGTATTTATCTATCATTTTTCAATTATCTGAAATGACGGAATTTCTCTTTTAACTGAGTCTCTACATTTCTATTGAAATTCTATTTACAGGCTGCTGTATAGATCGATGCTCTGGTGGGCACCCACTTTTTGTGTGTTTTTCTTGGTGAATAAAGACTTCATAAGAAAATACACTTGTCTTCTCTATTCTGAGTCTATGCAATGATTGAAAATAAACCCATAAATATTTCCAACGTGATGCCAGTTTTATTATTATTTTTAAATTCTTGAGAGTTGCAAACTGGCCCTGGCCACAGTAAAGCAAGCTGGGCTTATAGAGCAATACTTGGTCCAACACAATCCTAGCAACACATCCTGTCACTAGAGTCAGGTTTCACCAAGACAGAGTCCGCTAGGTAAGAAGAGGGCTCAAGCCTTGGGCCAAAGAGAGCGGGTGCCTTTGGGCACCAACCCGGCCCTGGGGAGTAGCAGAGTGACTCAAGGGCAACACCCATATGGACGAGGTCTACACAGCTCCCCCTCACGGGAGAGGCAAGGCTCCCGGTTGCATTACAAATTCATCCCAATTTCCTGATTTTACGATCACTGGGCATCTAATACATAAACCAAGTGAAAGGTGAAAGACAAAAGCACGGGAAAACCCGACCTCCCTGGCTCCTTCAGCAAGAGAACAGCCGCCTGGTCGGCAGGGAAGCACGGGGCACTGAAATAGTCCAAGACAGAGGGACCATCTACACCACCTCCTCCACGCCACGCTGGGGAGCTGTCGGAACTTGACCAGACCAAGCTTGAATTTTGTGGGGTCATTTTTTTTAACCCTTTTCTTTAAAATAGAGAAGAATCTGTTCTTACACGAATCTTGAGGGCGGTATTTTCTCCGTCTTCTCTGCAGGTTGGACTTCTGGAATGTGCTCTCCTTTGGATCTTCGTGGTCAGCTGGCCGCTATCAACAGAGGGAAACAGAAACCGTCAGAACTGAGGGGCACAGAGGCAGCAAACACGGGGACCCCAATCATTTGCTTCTGGAAATGAGATGATTGCCTGACATTAAAATGGTGTTTCTCGAGCAAAGGAAAATGAGATGTAAATAATCATTACTTGTTTTTCCTCACATTTTATGTCACTGACATTATGAATAAAATATTGCCTAAATGCTACATGTACGCCTACCAAGAAAAAAATAAAATAAAGTCTATCATTAAGTGGAACTATAATTTAACATATTTTAAAATCTTTCTTCTTTCCCTTTTCCTAAGTGGGGAAAGGAGGCAAAAAATGAAGCATGTATTTTCAAAGAAGACCATTATTTTACAGGAGTCATGTTCCACATCCAGATGAAATCTTAAGATATATAAAATAACCCAACTTTCATGTTTCTGTAAGTTTGAGTTAATTTGAAATCATGTCAGAAACCACAGATAAATCAGTCTTAAAGTAAAAATTACACCATGCTAATTCAGATTAAATGTGGTCAATACAACAGAAGTAGGAAAGTTGTTTCAGCTTCCAAATGAAAACAGAAAGGCTTTTCCCTAATACAAATTACAGTTCAAAATGATGGTTCTCAGGCCGGGGCCATGCCTCAGCAGGACAGCCTGTGCCTTGTGTGTGTGAGAGGCTGCAAATGCAGTGCCCGGTACCACAAAAAAGGAAAGAAAAATTCTTAATATACTAGTTCGGGTCTGGAGTCTCTCAGCTATTTTTATTCAAGTTACTTCGATGAAATCTCCACAATTATGAAAAACTAGTCTCTGAACAGATGCTTCAAGATATCTAAACTGGAAACGAAGCCAACCACTCAGAATGAACTAAAGACACTGACATTTGACCACAAGCCATATCAGGATTTCCTTCACAAATTGCAAGCCACTGGATGCCCAAAAGACAGACCACTAACACAAAAGGACAAGGTTAAAGAGAACAAAAGGGAATGCCCTGCCACAGAGACAGGGTAAGATGGGGGAGATGGGGGGTTGGAGGGATACTGGGATCAGTGGTGGTGGAGAATGGGCACTGGTGGAGGGATGGGTACTCGATCATTGTCTAACTGAAACCCAAGCACAAAAATTTGTAAGTCTACAACTGTACCTCATGGTACAGTTTTAAAAAAAATTTTTTTTTAAAAATCACATGCTTCCTGGTGACAAACAGAACAACAAATTTTTTTTTTTTAAAATCACATGCTTCCTGGTGACAAACAGAACAACGTTTCTTAGATTGGTCATTGATTCAGTGTCTCAGAAAGCTGGTAACTGATCTTCTAATTGACTCCTACTCAATGTCCCAGATGTCCAAATCATTTATAACAAATGGGGGAAATACCATAACACTTTGAATAATTCTAATCATACTGGTGCTATCTATACAAGTTTTTAAAGCTCATTCTATGAGAAAAGGAAAGTTGGTAAATCATGGCCTGCTCTTCTTTAAGAATAGATTAAAAACCCATAAAAAGAGCCATGCTTAAAAATTTAAAAATGCTTAAATATTAAAAGTCATTCTTCTCAGGGAAATTTTAATAAAAAGAAGACTGAAACTTTTATCTATTAGACAGTGTGCATCCATAAAACAACACACCCCTCATTTGCTCAGGGCTGCTCTTTATCAACCCGCCTCTTGCCCCCACAATCAATTTTCAAAATCAGTCACTGCATCTGTGCCCTCACCGGCCATGTACTTCTTCAATCCACTACAATCTGACCTCCTCTGAGAGCACTCGACGTCATCTACAATCTCCAAATTGTCCAATCAAAGGGACACTAATCTGTCTTGACCTGTTGTTGATCTCACTAAAACTCCAGGGACTGTTTCATGACGCCCTCAGTCATTGGCCCCATGGCACTAGCCTTTCCTGGTCTTAGGCAACCTTACAAGTTTCCCGCACAGGGGACCAGGGCAATAATACGGTGAGGAGGGTGTTTACCTTGCCTTTGGCCACTTTGGCCAACCCGGGTTCAATCTCTTGCATCACATATGATTCCCTGAGCACCGCCAGGAATAATTTCTGAGTGCAGAGCCAGAAGCAACCCCTGAGCATCACTCGGTGTGACCCAAAAAGGGAGGGGGAGAAGAAGGGAGGAGGAGGGGGAGGAGATGGAGAGGGGGAGGTGGAGGAGAAGGAGGAGGAGGCGATTTCCTCAAGTAACCTTTGCCGGTTTTCCTTCCTCTCCCACCTCCATACCTCCATGCCGGAATTCCAGGAATCGGTATCTGACTTTACTACCTCATTTTCACAAGGTTTCCCTGGATAATCCAATATACTATTGATTTTTTTTAACCAAACCTGAATCATCTGCCCAAATTGTTCTTTTGGCCTCCATCCCGAATAGCCCGACTTCCAACACAGCACGTCCAACACTAAACTCGTTGGATTACCCCTCAAAACATTTTCCCCTGCAGGCGAAGGGAATCAAAAATTTTCAGAAGCCGGCTCCTTATGAAGGCCACTGGGCCTCCTAAGGTCAGGAGGGACGCAACAGTCTGGCTGACACGAACTCAGGCACAGAAGCTTCACTCCTTGCCAGGGAGAATACCGGCAGCTACAAGCACAATGAACTAGAAGTCTGCTTAGGTATAGAGGCGGCTCCGCATTCACAGCATTCATGGGTGGAGGCGCAGCCCAACCCTCGAGTCTGCTCTGGCGTGGCCTGCCACATGGAAGACGCACAGGAAGATGGTGTGTGTGGGATCACAGATGGCCAGGAGCTCATGGTGAAGGTCCTGTGCCAGTGGAGAAGAAACTGACTTGATGGGTTTCAGGATGCCAAAGCCCCAGGACAGAAAGGGTCACGGCATGGTGACATGGTGACGTGCAAACGCCTCTGCTTCTCCTCCTCCACTAGAAAGAAAATATTTCTTCTATCTCACTTTTTCCAAACACTAAAATCTCTCTGGGTCCAAATCAACTCCAAGTACTGGGATAGACTTGACCCTTGACTTGTTAAAAAAATAAATAAAAGTATGTGAAGTCAAATGTGTAATATTTACAAATGAAAAGAAAGATTTCCTAGAGAGAACAAAAGGGAATGCCCTGCCACAGAGGTGGAGTGGGGGTATGGAGTGGGGTTGGTGGGAGGGATACTGAGATCACTGGTGGTGGAGAATGGCACTGGTGGAGGGATGGGTACTAGATCACTGTATGACTGAAACACAAGCATGAAAGTTTGTTAAGTATGTGACTGTACCTCACAGTGATTCACTAATTTAAAAAAATTAATTAATTAAATTAAACTTTTTTAAAAAAGGAAGATTTCCTGTGTGCCCACCAGCAGAAGAAATTAACAACATAGAATTTTTTGTTTGTTTTTGAACCACACCCGGCAGACCTCAGGTATCACTCCTGGCCAACAGGGGACCATAGGGGGTGCTGGGAATGAGAACCCTGGCCAGCTACAAGCAAGGCAAACACCCCACCCACTGGACTATCACTTAGCTCCAACAACATAGATTTTTTATATATACATATATATATATATTGATGTGAAGTACTAAAATTTATTTTCAAACTGTGTTTCAATGTGACTCAAGTAGACATATCAGATGGGAAAAGAAATGAATGATCTACAATCATGCAAATGTGCTTACATATGAAAATCATGAGTACCAAATTTTAAAGCCATTGTGGAGGAAAAGAGAAAATTAAATAGAGCATAAAGTCCAATCCATGGGTTAAAAAAATGATTTCGAGAAATATGCCTAGGTACATTCATGCGTGGCACAGAGCATGCCTCTCATGTGAGGACTTGGGTTCAATCCTAAGTACAATGAAAAAGAAAGAGGAAAGAAATGTTCTGATCAAGGTGACTCAAAAATAAATAAATAATTTTTAAAGTTACTTTGCAGAGACTGGAAGGTTATTAAAAGTTCACGAAAAAATAGAAAAACAATAAATTTTTAAAAATTAAAAAAGAAATGTCCTGAGAACACAAAGGTAAATAGAGATACAGTTAAAAAATGAGAGATAAGGAAAATCGATTCAAAAATCTCTAACACTGAAACAATACGATGTGCGGAGGGAGTCACTGAAACAGGAATCAGGGAAACATCAACTCTATAGCAGTGACAGGAATCACGTGACTGTATCAAAGAGCCTAACAAGTGGCCCCACTTTCTGCGAGGACAAAACCACCATGCCGCGGAAAGAAAGGAAGCTGGAGCCAGCCGGACTCTGGTTACAGAAATGACCAGAGACAGCACCAGGAGAGATGCTGGAGAATGGGAAGGCCCAGCATCGAGAAACAAAGTGACACGGTCACTTACTGAAAAACAGGAGGTAAGTATCACAGCTGAAGGTCAGGGCTGGGGACCATGCCTGAGAACAAAGGCTTGTAGGAACCTATCCGCCCAGGAAAAGGCCAAGATGCAGGGCCTGAAAGTCAAGGACGCAGACTCGGAACAGAGGTCAAATTGAAGAGGGACTTGGGTTCTCCAATTCCTAGAATATAAGTACTAAGGAAAGAGTGGGCTGAAGTACTAAGCTGATAAAGGTACTATAAAAATACTCAGCTGAGGGGCTGGAGCAATAGCACAGCAGGTAGGGCGTTTGCCTTGCATGCAGCTAACCGGGGTTCAATTCCCAGCATCCCATATGGTCCCCTGAGCACCGCCAGGGGTAATTCCTGAGCGCAGAGCCAGAAGTAACCCCTGTGCATTGCCGGGTGTGACCCAAAAAAAAGCAAAAAAAAAAAAAAATACTCAGCTGAGCACTCACCTGAAAGGAATCATTTCTGATGGAAAATGAACGAGAATTCTGAGGCCAAGAGCCCCCAGGCCACGGCAAAGTACCACCCAGAGCACGCCCAAAGGTCTCTTGGAGAAGCGCGTCAGCCAGGATATAACTCAGCAGCAGAACACGCTTTCCCTGTGGGAGGCACTGCTTGTGTTCCACAGTACTACAAGAATCAAAAGGGGGTGGGGGGAGCAACAAAAGGCTAAAA